AGAGGGTTCTAGGTGTCCTACGTTCTCCACCGCCATCAAAACACCAAATGAGAAAACGTTCATCCTCCAGTAGAGCTGAACAACCTGAAGAACTCAACAAAACCCTGAACAGGTATTTGAGATTTTACAGAGTTCTCCAGAGAGACCAGGGCTCGTAAAATATTCATTTAAATATGATTTGAGTTTATAATCTGACATCTCTCCTCTTTCAAGAATCACCGGGGGGGGGGGCGGCATTATATGCATTATAATATATCACTGTACAGATTAATAAACAGTGTATGCATTATAAATATTAATAAACAGACTCTGACCTTTCAGGAACAGCTGCTCGATCTCGTCACCACTGAGGTCGCTGTGGATGTCCACCTTGAAGCCCAGTTTGCTGAGGATGCGGTGGAGTTTCTTGGTGTCCTTCTCGGCTCCAGGCCTGTTCCTGAGCTTCACCCCGGGGTCGAACCTCGCCACGGACACCAGCACCGCCCGGTTACACTCCCCTCTGGGCTCCTTCAGGCCTCGCCAGTGCAGCATTGTGCTTCTGTGTGCTGTGTTTGCTCTGTGGAAGAACCCGTGTCTGTGGAAGCTCTCTGGTGTGTGTGCAATGCACACCTTTAAAGTCACACCTGTCTTACCATATATGGGTTTTTCCTCCTCGGGCTGTTAGAGGAGGAATGGTAAATGGACCTGTAAATGGTGATCACATGCGTGACTGCCACTCATTGTTACGTAACTATCCTGCTGGGAAACAACGCTGTGCAATCACAGCAGGCCTCAGGTGTACGTTGTTTTACAGGCGAGTCAATGCTCGTCTACAGACCATAAAAACACTCGTGACCACTTTCCTTGAAATACATCAGATATTTTGAAACAAAAATAAATCCTTTACAAACAGGATCTCTGACTTGAGGAGACGTGCAGTAGCTTTATTTATCTTCCACCCTGACTGCACCCTACAGCAGGCCTGCACAGGACTGCACCCCGCCTTCATTCCACCATTTGATTAATGGAAATAATCACCGTTGCAGTCTGATGGAAAATGAGCTCAACTAGCTCCAACAATAAAATCCAGTTTTTACATTTATTTTATTATTTTATTTGATCTTGAGGTCACATTGAGATCAAAGATCTCTTTAACAGGTGAGACCTCGAGGCAGCAGCCGTATAAAACCACATGATGAGCAAAAACAACCATAGTCTTTATGAATAAACTCATCAGTGGATATAAATGTAATGTAAGATCTTTCTCAGATTATTCCGGGTCCAAGGTGCACAGAAAGACAATACATACGTCTCCACAGCCGTCAAACCCAGAGTCCATTAAAAGCAACCACTAACGACCAGAACCAGAGGATGATGGGAGTTTACCTGTAACGCTTTAATAATATAACTGTACCAGAGCTGTAGTCTGCGAGGGGTCAGTGATAGACCATAATAATCTAATGGTATCATATTTAATAGCACAACTGTCACAGGGGATGTTTTTTACACCTTTAATATTCACTAACTTTTACTGAAAGGTTCCATGTGTAAGATTCTGAAGCATTTCTGTATTATTTTATAATGACAAAATAATGAAACATAAGTCATAAAACCATCAGGTCCTGTAAGGAAATCCTTACTGGATATTATTACGTATTACAGTTCACTGAATGTGGATCAGAGAAACCTGTTACTCAAACCTAAACTTTCCAAGCTTCCTCGAGCTGAGGAAGGTGGAAGGTGAGTAATGAGCTCATAGATGGTATCAGCAGGAGTACATCAAAAGTTCAACAATAACTTTATAACTGAAACAGTTTCAGTTTCATTCTGTTGCCTCTTCATCATTCATTCATTCATTCATTATTCATTTCTAAAGTCTTTAAAATCTGTACAGTTTCACTGACGAGGTAAAAGCACTCGAGTCAGTGTCTTACAAATTATTTTAATAAAGTTTCTCATTATAGTCAGTCACTATTCTTACTGTACCGAGCACACGTTCTGTTTGTTTCATTAAGTATTGTAAATGTTTTACTGAGAGGGAATAAAAACAACTCTCAGCTTTAATGCATTTATCAGTTGAGATTTAACAAAATGTGACGTGATGCAGAAACAGTTTCTCACAGTGAGGCGCTCTGGATCTTCAGAATAAAAGCACTGTATGAACATTATAGTTATTCTCAATGTCTGCCAGCAGCTCGGATTCAGTCTGATTCCCATTGAAATCAATGAAACAAGGCGTCAGAAGCACTACTGCTTCTGTCCACAGGGGGCGCCAGAATCAACACACAATGGAAGTTCGTAAATTTCTTGTAGGAGGTTTAAAAGGTAAAAACCCTGAGAAGGAACCGTACATAAATATTTTGTTACTCAATACGTATTTAAAGTAATCAAATGCGACCCTTCAGATGGCAAGACGATGCACACAATAATAATTGTGTACGTTTTTATCCGATTTCAACAAGACTTCCAGTCTTCCTGTTTGGAAGCATTATTTGTTTCATTCGCATGGGCGGTCACGTAATCCGGCACGCAACCGAGCTTCAACTCTGGAGGCAGCTCATAATATATATATATAGTCATTATATATATAGTATATATATTTATATATGTAACAGCTACAGTAAAAGTTCAATTCAGGTTTCGACGTCTTTCTTTCTGAAGGTATAAAAGTAACATAAGCATTGGCATAACCTCTGTATTGCAGTGGCCTACCAAGGGGCTGTTAACGACTGAGTACTGATGTTACTGTTTATGATGGTTCCACAGTGACGGGAGACAGGTCGGGTTTGTGTGCAGGATTCAGTCACCTGGGTTCTAGCACACAAACACAGGACCAGACAGACAAAGACAGGACAGACGAACACACACGTCACTAGGATTTAGCCTGTGACGTTGGCTGTGGTTCAGATGGCTGGTGTGCACCCCCTTTAAGTTGGTTGAAACTGACTTCGCCGCTTTGGATCGTTGTTGGTGGATGTAAAACAGGAGGAGGGTGAACCTGTTGCCAGTGGAGTCCAGTTGAGCTTAGCTCGGTGGCACCGATAGGGAATGTATGTAAGATTATGATGTTGAAGTTAGCTGCGTTTAGGCTAGCTCCTTT